CGATCGTCGATCGTCGGTGCGGTGTGATCGTCGATCATACCGAACAGCCCACCCTGTCAGAAACCTGTACTCGCTCATAGCTTCGCAGCGAGGTCGGACGGCTTTCCCCTTCACAGCGCCCCCTCCGTGCCCGACGAGGCGCAGTCATTGAGCGACGGGGGCTTGAGCGATGGGGCCTTGGCCCGTTCTCCGTGTCCTGTCGGAAGGCCATGCGCACTGCCGAATTCGTGCGCGCAGCGAGATCAAGCTGATGAGCTCATGCGCACAGAATGGCAATGACGTGGATGATCGCTTGCGTGCCCGCAGAAAATCTGGCATGATGTTTAGATGTCATATTGGGAACCGATGCAGGGCAAACGTGATAGAAGAGACCCACCTTGGCATGTTCACGAACCAACAGAAATGTGTTGAATGAGCTTGTCTTGCACGCGCGTGCCCGTCACGTAGTTTCGTTTAGAAAGGGACCACCCCCAGACTGGGTACTGTTGCTTGCATAACGATATTTTTCACAGGTAAGATGGGCATTTGGGACCACGAAATATATGGAGGCACATCCGGGGGCTCCTGACCAACACCCCAGAGCGAGAGGGGGCGTGGAGCTCCCGACCAATACTCCAACCCCCACGACATCGAACAGTGCCCTAAACATATGGAAGGGGAACTCCTTCCCTTTGATCCCTTCCCGCTCGGAGGGGGGGCCCCGGGGGGGGGGGATCGTCCTGGGGAGGGGGGTGCGGGTCCCGGGGGGGTGTCCCGGGTCGGGTGAGGGGGCTCCGGGGCGGGGGTCCCCCCGAGGACAGGGGCCTGGCCTCCGGCCGGCAGGGGAGCTCCCCCCGCCTCGGCCCCGGCGGCCCCGGCCCTGGCTCCAGGCTCCAGCCCTGGCTCCGGCCCCGGTCCCGGCCCCGGCCCCGGCCCGGGCCCGGGCCCCGGCCCCGGCCGGCCCCGGCCCCCGCCCTGGCCCCGGGCCGGGCCCCAGCCCAGGCCCCGGCCTTGGCCCTGGCCCCGGCTCTGGCCCCGGCTCTGGCCCCCGACCGCCCCCGGCTCCAGCCCGCCCCCGAAGAGGCAGACGGCTCTCTTTTTCTTGCAGGCGCAAACTCATCAGAGGACGCAACTGTGACGAGACGATAAATTAGGCGCCGCCCGGGCCGCGTGTGGCCACGCTTTTTCGCAGCTCTGTACGCGAGTGTGTCGGTTGCGTCTAAATGCGCTATCTTATCGGCATCCATGGGTGGGGTGTCGGCTCTCCTCCTCCTCCTCCTCCTCCTCCTCCTCCTCGTCCTCCTCCCCCTCCTTCTCCTCCTCTTTCTCTTCCTCCTCTTCCTCCTCCTCCCCCTCTTCCTCCTCCTCCTCCTCCTCCTCCCCCTCATCCTCCTCCTCCCTCCACCGCCCGCCCCTGTCCCGAGCCTGTGGCAGAGTCATCAGCTCATCGTTGTTGTTGTCGTCATGGTCGTCGTGGTCGTGGTCGTGGTCGTTCTTCTGGGTCGGCGGCACCAGCAGTAAGGCCTTGGCGATATATGGAATCACATACTGTAATATCTGGACCGGATCCAGTCTGGCACGGCTCATGGCGTAAAGCACATAGCATAAAGGTAGAAGCCTAGGTGCCGCATACGTACACTTACAGCAGAGTGCACTTCACGATCGTATGCTTTAGCGTGTTAACATGTAACTGATATGTAACATAGTACGAATGATACGTTATGCAGTGAACTTCTACATAACACATCTACAGTTTGTTAGCCGCCAAGGGTGCTGCTTCACAGCGATGCATTGGGGCCATCATTGCATATCGGGGCGAAGGTCATACCGACTTTGAGAATTTTACTAGGGCGAATCATGTTGTCTGCGCGAAGCGAACAGTCCCATAACATCGGCATCTGTGGGTAGGAGGGTGTGGGCCCTCCTGCTCCTCTACATCCTCCCTCCTTTCCTCCTCCTCCTCCTTTTCCCAATCAAGACCGCCCCCTCTAAAGCTTCGTCCTCCATCCTTCCTCCATCCCTCCTCCATCCCTCCTCCATCTTCCTCCATCCTCCACCCCTCCACCCTCCTGTTCCCCTCTCCACCTCCCCAGCTCCTCCACCCTCTCCTCCCCTTCCTCCCTACCTCCTCCACCCTCCCCTTCCCCTCTCCTCCTTCCTCCCTTCTCCTCCACCTCCTCTCCTCAAGACCTCCTCCCTCCTCCTTCTGATCCTTTCTTGGAGCGCGCTCCGAACAGGATCTCGAGGCTCCGAGGGGGGAGGTGTGGCTGTGGCGAAGACGGCGCCCCCGACCCCATCAGGGGCCCGAGAAAGGCCCCATCTAGGGCTGACCAAGGGGTCGCCAGCAGGTCGTGCTGGATTGGTTTCCCCGGAGGTCCCCCCCCGAAGATCTTATCAGGCTTATCAGGTCCCTTGGAGGCCGCGGAGGTCCCCAGACGCCTTCCTTCTGAGGCCGCCGGCCCACAAGCGCCAGAAGGATCTGCGAGACCCTTGATACTTGAACCTCCTCCTCCTTCTCCTCCTGCTCCTCCTTCTCCTCCTTCTCCTCCTCCCTCCTCGTTCCTCCTCCTGCTCCTCCTGCTCCTCCCTCCCTCCCCCCTCCCTCCCTGGCCTCCCTCCCTGGCCTCCTGCTCCTCCCTCCCTCCCTGGCCCACCCCTTGCGCGACGAGCTGCTCCGGTGACGCGCCCCTCACCCTCCGGGCTCCCCCGCTCTGGCCGCCTGCCCGCCTCTCACCTCTTCGGTTGTGGATGCCATGGCAATGGGCACCCCGACAATCCTGTCATTGAACTGAGAACGTGTTTGAAATGTGTAAAACATTTTGTAAATATGTTTCAAACATGTTTTAATCCTTAAAACATGCTTGAAACATATTTGAGACATCTGGAAAATACTTGGCAGCATGCTTCCTCTCCATGAATCGACTTCCACATCTCTTTGGACGCCCGACATGAGTACAATGCGGGCGCGGCTGCATGAAGCCCTCGCAAGAGACCCACCCCTGAGAACCCGTGCGCGAGGTGCACCCGAGGGGGAACCTGGAGCACCCTGAACGCAGCAGCTTCTTCAACGGCTGCGGGAAGTAACCGCGCAGCGCGAAGAGCGAAGAAACCCAAGATACCCTGACGAAAAGCAACATGATTTGTTGATGCGCGCCCCCACTGCACGGAAACATGGGCGCGGTGCCGAGCAGCAGATGGCGTCAAAGACCGGCAGCGGCCGCTGTTCGGCAGGCGGCCGTCTACCTCATGGAGGACGCCGCCCGTGACGAGGCCGACGGCGAGCCCTGCGCAACACGCGCAGGGGCTCTGCTGCCGGCCTGTGTGCCCATTCTTTCCGTGCTCCTCCTCCTCCTCCTCCTCCTCCTCCTCCTCCTGCGATCGGCCCCGCTCAGCTTCTGGGCTCCCCTCTCCTGCCGCCCGCGCACTTCTCAGCTCGTTCGGCCGCGCTCTCGGACCCGGCGGACCCCGGCAGCGCCGCGGGGGCTCCCTCGCCGAGCGGCGGCCTGACCCGAAGACGAAGCCAGGACTACTCCAGATTTCGTGATAAAGGGAGGGGGGTCTCATTTCGGGGGGGGTCTCTTCCAGGCTATCTTGGAGGGCCTGGGGGGGTCTGGGGACGATGTTTTGGAGGGTTCTCCCACGGGGGGGGTCTGACATGGCTTGTCTTGGAGGGTCCAGACCCCCTCCCTTTTATTACGAAATCTGGAGTACAGCAAGTTCTTGCCGTGAGCGACCCCGATGTCGGTTTCTGACACCGCGTGGATCGTTCAACCTTGCACGATCGGCCGTTTCCAAAACGTCAGATCGTTCAACATCGACCGATTCTGGGTCGCGGGCGGCGTTCAATGTCGTACGCCGGCGGCGGGGTCGCCGCCGGTCGACACGACACGATCTGGCGGAGAAAACTAGAATCTCTGTGCTGTGATCTGGCGGATCTGTGGGATGTATCGGGCGCCGCCGCCTTCTCGAAGCGCTCCGGAACGCTCTGAGAGCGTTCTGGAACAGGGCTGAACCTACACGGTGTTTTTCGTTTTCGCTCCGTTTTCGTGCTCCCTCGTTTTGTCTTCCATCCGCCTCTGCCGCGAGACGAAGCCGAAACGACAACGGCCCACGAAATCGCCCAAACACCGTTTAGGTCCAGCCCTGGACTTGTGTGTCGTCCCAGCCCCGCCTGAGGCCCCTCCCCTCTCGGGCTGGCCCGACGGAGGCCTTTCTCGGGCAGGGCCACCTCCGCCACCGCACGCCCGAGCCGGCGCTCAGCCCGGCCGCCCCCTCCTCGGAGCAGGGCGACTCCGTCCTCCTCCCTCCATCTACAGTCAACCAGTATGGTAAGGATGCGCGATAAGGATGCCTCCCTCCTCCCTCCCTCCTCCCTCCTCCCTCCTCCCTCCCTCCTCCCTCCTGAGGAATCCTTGCCTCCTTCCTGCCTCATTCCTCCTCGTCCTCCTAACGGTCAACCAGTACAGGAAGGATGCGCGATAAGGATGCAAGGGCCTTGGACGCCCATTTCGAAGCTTTTCGAGCGGGGCGCGGCCAGCGAAAGCGGCGAAGGACGGACCCAGGAGGCACGGATGCAAGGGTAACCTTGGGAAGGTTGCCCATCCTTACTATGCGGGTTGATTGTATCCCTCCCTCCCTCGCTCCTCCATCCCCCCGTCCCTCCCTCCCGGGAGGAGGAAGGGGGGGAAGGGGGGAGGAGGAGGAGGAGGAGGGGGCGGAGGGGGAGGAGGGGGCAATGGAGGTCAAATCCCAAGAGCGGTGGGGGCAGACTCCGAGCCGACAAGCCTCTAAAGGGCTTGTGAATTGAGAGGGGCGCCCCTGTGGAGGGTACGGATGCAACGGCCAGGCAGCGCTGTGAGGAGAGGGAGGAGAGGAAGAGGGGGGACGGGGGAGGAAGGACGAAGAGAAAGGGGGAATGAAGCTCTTTCTTCATACCTCCACTCATCCCTCCCACCATCCGTCCTCAGCCCTCCATCCCCCTCATTCCCCCCTCCCCCCTCAAAAGGCCCACGCTGCAGCTCCCGGGCGAACCGCTGCGCGCGCGCCCGGACAAGGACTGCCAGGAGGGCCCCGCGTCCAGGGTGGATGCCGTCATCACCGACGCCTCGGGGAGGTCCTCCCCGCTCCTGGGCTCCCCTGCCAGCACTACCTCCTTCTCCTCCTCGACATCCTCCCCCTCTTCATGTTCGTCCTTGTCTTCGTTGTATGTATGCTGAGGCTGCACGGAAATCGGCGCCGAGGGGGTCGAGATGACAACTGCTGGGCAGGGCGAAGTGCAGAAGGGAGCGGATCAGGGGGAAGAAGCTGCCTTTGATACTGTTGGCGGTTAGGAAACTGCCCGCAACCCCAAATCCCGTCCTCTCGCCTCCTCCTCCTCCTCCTCCTCCTCCTTCTCTTCCTCCCCCAACAGTCCCTCGTCGACTCGTAGGTGTCGAAAAGAGGCAGCTGTCCCTGGGTATGCTGGCTACACATACCATCCATCAGTGCCAAATGTCATACAAGCCTGTTCTCACTCTGGGACCCGAGGGTTCGTCATCCAACCTTCACGGGCACCGCCCCAAAGATGGGAGAGCCCATGTGCCGGTATAGATTATCGGGGGCCTTGGTGTATAGATTATCGGGGGCCTTGGTTACCCTAGGCTCTTTTACCGACTTTAGGCTTCCCAAGGGTAGGCCCTACTGAAGGCCATAGGCTTCCCACGGCTAGGCCCTACTGAAGGCCCTAGGCTTCCCAAGGGTAGGCCCTACTGAAGGCCCTAGGCTGCCCTACTGGACACCCTAGGGTAGGCCTAGGGTAGCCCTAGGGGTAGGCCCTAGGGGTAGGCCTAGGGTAGCCCTAGGGGTAGGCCCTAGGGGTAGGCCTAGGGTAGCCCTAGGGGTAGGCCCTAGGAGTAGCCCTAGGGTAGCCCAAGGGGTAGGCCCTAGGGGTAGCTCTTTTATTGCGGATTACAAACTGACTTCTTTGGTCGGGCGGGCGGGCGGGACATTAAATGCATTGATTGCTTTTGGTGGCGGATTACGTCTTGATTCCCTTTGGTAGCGGATTGCAAATTGATGCCTTTAGTCGGGCGGGCGGGCGGGACATTAAAGGCATTGATTGCATGTGTGGTGGATTACCAATTGCTTCCCGTTGGTAACGGATTACGAGTATATTCCCTTTATGGTGGATTATCAACTGTTTATTTTGGTCGGGCGGGCGGGCGGGACACTAAAAGCATTGATTACTTGTGTGGCGGATGGCAAACTGATTCTTATTGTGGCAGATTACACATTTATTCCTTTTGTCGGGCGGGCTGGCGGGACATTAAAGACAATGATTGCTTGCGTGGTGAGTTACACATGTATTCCCTTTGGTAGCGGGTTACAAACTTATTCCTTTGGTCGGGCGGGCGGGGGGGACATTAAATGCATTGATTGCTTGGGTGGCGGATTAGAAAGTGATTCCATGTGGCAGCGGATTACAGACCCCCCCCCCTCGCAGACCCCCCTCTCACAGACCCCCCCCTCACAGACATCCCCCCCTCACAGATCCCCCCTTTGGGACCCCCCCCTCACAGAACCCCTCCCTCACAAACCCCCCCCTTCGCAGACCCCCCCCTCGCAGACCCCCTCCCTCGCAGACCCCCCCTCACAGACCCCCCCTCTGAGACCCCCCCTCACAGACCCCCATCGGTAGCCCTAGGGGTAGGCCCTAGGGGTAGGCCTAAGGGTAAGCCCTAGGGGTAGGCCCTAGGGGTAAGCCTACGGTAGCCCTAGGAGTAGGCCCTAGGGGTAGGCCTAGGGTAACCCTAGGGGTAGGCCCTAGGGGTACCCCTAGGGTAGGCCTAGGGGTAGGCCTAGGGTAGCCCTTGGGGTAGGCCCCAGGGGTAGCCTTAGGGTGGCCCTAGGGGTAGGCCCTAAGGGTACGCCTAGGGTAGCCCTAGGGGTAGGCCCTAGGGGTAACCCTAGGGTAGCCGTAAGGGTAGGCCCTAGGGGTAGCCCTAGGGGTAGGCCCTAGGGGTAGCCCTAGGGTAGCCCTAAGGGTAAGCCCTAGGGGTAGCTCTAGGGTAGCCGTACGGGTAGGCCCTAGGGGTAGGCCCTAGGGTAACCATTCCTTGGATGATCTATAAGCATGTGCCCCGTCCGGCTTGACAGGACTATGCCTACCCTCAAGGGCATCAACAAATACAGTGCGGGCGCGGCCGCAAGAGAAACCCTCGCAAGAAACCAAACCCTGAGAACCCGTGCGCGAGGTGCACCCGAGGGGGAGCCTGGAGCATCCTGAACGCAGCAACTTCTTCAACGGCTGCGGGAAGTCACCGCGCAGCGCGAGGAGCGAAGAAACCCAGGATACCCTGACGAAAAGCATGTGGTTTCTTGATGCGCGCCCCCACTGTACACTACGATCCTCTTCCTCCCCCTCCTCTTCCTTCTTGAAATGGCTGAGGGCGGCGCCTCGGCGTTGAGGAAGGTGCTCGTGGCCGCGGAAGCCGGTGCGTCGTGGCCCCAGCCGGCCAAGTTCCCTGGCGAGGCGCTCCGGCCGGTCGCGCCCAAGGCACGGAAGCGAGATTACAGCGAGATGCGGTTTCCTGTTCGGGCGACGTTTTGGCCAAAATGATGGCCAGCAGGGAAGAGGATGGGGGTGAAGGACAAACGGCGGGCCAGGTACAGTCAGCTTGTATCACAGGGGCGCGCGGTAAGGACGCAAGGGCCTTGGAGGACCACAGCGACACTTTGCGAGCGGGTCGCGGCCAGCGAAAGCGGCCAGGGATGTGCCGACGGGGAAGGATGCAACGGCAGCCCTGGGAAATTGCTCGTCCTTGCTGTGCGGGCTGACTGTAAGGAGGAGGGGGGGCCGAAGGGTAAACATGGCGCCGCGTACTCGACAGCGCTGCTGCATCCGGATCGAGGCGTGGCAGCCCCGTCGTTGAACGCTGCTGCGCGCCGTCGAATCCCACCAGCTTTCTGGGCGCTGGTCTACAGAAATTTCTCTTCCACCCCCCTTCTTCCCCCTCGGGGAGGGCTTTACGCCTTCCCCCATCCCATTACCCCCTCGCCTGGACTTGGACGGGGTGGTCCGCGAGGGGTTGGAGCGTCCAAGATGGCCCAAGACGGCCTCAGATAATGCATTATGGCCTCCAAGATGGCTCAATATAGCGGACAATCGCTCAAGATGCAAGATGTTCCAACAGGCCCCGAAACCGCCTCAAGACAGCTTTGCGTGCCCGAAGAGCTCCCCAAGGAGGCCCCCAACAGACCAACCTCCTTCAACTACATCAGCAACATCCATGTCTTTGGCTTTCTCGCCTTTTCGCTTCCGACTGCCATCCGATGCCTCAAGATGGCTCCAAGATGGCCCACGAGGGGCCCCAAAGGGGCCGAGACGGCCCCAACAGCGCTCCAAGAGCGCCCCAAGAAGCGATTGTAGGCACTCTAGACGGGCACGGCTAATTGAAGCTGCCCTCTTCGTCTATCGATGTTTTCCTAGATGGGTCCAGTAGCGCCCCTCAAGCTCCCAAGAGCGCCCCAAGAGGGCCCCAAAAGGCACCTAGACGGCTCCACGGGGCGCCCAAAGAGCCTCCAAGAGGCTCCCCAAAGACCCCCCCGAAACCTCAAGAGGATCCCCGAGGCACCCGAGACGCTCAGGGGCGGCCCTGGGCCCGCCAAAATGCCCCCCCCCCCCCCCCCTCAGGCGCCCCAAGAGGCTCCAGACAACTTCCTAGCGACATCCGAGGAAACCCCCGAACACATGCAAGAGGCGTCTGGCTCTTTTGTTCGCCTTTTTCCTCCTCCTCCCCCTCCTCTTCCTCCTCTTTTTTTGGCCGCGGCGGCGCGGCCACTGCGACAGACTTGCGAGCGCCGGCCCAGGGGCGCAGCTGGAACACCAGAGCAGCGGCACGGGAGAGAGACGCACACCTGCGCCTCGATGGAGGCGAGGCCCGCTTTTTCGGCATCGACTGACTACCTACCAGACCACCCCAACCCAACCCGAAGACCCGAATTTCGGGTTGGGGGGGGTAAGGGTTCCACACGTGTTTTTTCGACGTTTCCCGACCCCCCCCACTGGAAATCGAGGGTAAATCTGAGCCTTCGGGTTGGGTTGGGGTGGTTTGGTGGGTGGTGATCGACCTTCGGAGACGAATTGACCGCGCCCAATACCTAGTGCACTCCAGCGCGCGCAAGCCCACGAACGGGAACCGCATTCAATACCAGGGGGCCCGCAGCGACAAACGATACCAGGAAGCACCCGAATAACGGAAAACACACCGCAGGGCGCGGTGGACAGCCCCAGGGGCAAGATGAATAATTCAGCGCGAAAATCAAGCGCGCGCAATCGAACGTGGCGCAATGGCGCGTGCTAGCCCCGACGCCCGGATACATCCGTGAACTCCTCATCCGATGACTCGCCACAACCGTCGCCATAGGTCAAACATAGAGCTATGCCGAAACAGAGAACCGCCCATATTGCTAGTCGGGACGAAGAGAATACCTCCCCCAGGATCAGCAGGAAGGCCCCTCGGAACCCAAGGCGGAGCAGCGAGAGGGGACGCGGCGAGCTACTCCCTCTTCGGCGACTGCCGCCTGGGCCTCCGTGTCGGCCACGTCCTCGCAACGAGGAGCCTCCACGATGACGACCGACGGGTCGAAAACTGGCATTTCCGCGCGCGACATCCCGTCGAGACCACCCGCGGAATCGGACTCTCGACCCCGATCCTCCACCCGCCGTCCACGGTGGGCGCGGCGAAGCTCAGCTGGCTTCGCTTTCGCCACGTTGATGTCGTGCGAGTCCGCGTGCAGGGCCGCGTTGCGGCGCAGAGTATCGAGCCAGGAGGGTTCCCTCCCTGCTAGCTTCGCCTGCAGGGCGGGGAAAACAGCCTGCGGCCTCTGGGCGACCTCGTCGCTGCCAACCAGGCTGCTCAAAACCATTTCGGCTGCCTCCATGCTGTCGCTGACCCGCGAGAGCTCTTGCGACAACCTCGCGATGGCGTTGTCCGCCGACCAGCGCGATCAATCACGACAAGCCTTCCGCTGCGCCGCTGAGCGTTTCGGCGCGCACTCCGCGCAGCCTTCTAAAACCGTTTCCCATGCAGCGGCTCCCGGTCCTGCCATAAACGGGGGCAAATGGCGACCAGGGGAGACCCGCTTGAGCCAACACGGCTACGGCCGCTCCTCCTCCTCCTCCTCCTCCTCCTCCTCCTCCTCCTACTTTTCCTCCTCTTCCTCCCTCCTGCCTCCTCCACCACCTTACCCTCCTCCTCCTCCTCCTCCTCCTCCTCCTCCTCCTCCCCCTCGTTTTTTGTCCACGTTCTCCTCCTCTTCCTCCCTCCTCCTCGCCCCCCCTCCCCCTCCTCCACCTCCTCCTCCTCCTGCTCCTTCTCTTCCTTCTCTTCATCTTCCTCCGATTCCTCCTCCTTCTTCCCGCTTTTGGGGTACGACGGTTTCTCAATACCTGTGTTCTTATGTTTGCTTCCCCACGTCCTTGATCATGGCAACTCGTCTGGGCATCGTCTTTGGATGGGTTGCCCTTCTCCTTCTCCTCGTCCTCATCCGCCTATTCCCCCTCCTCCCTCCTCCCTCCTACCTCTTCCCTCCTCCCCCTCCTCCTCTTAATTTTTCTCCTGTGCATCCATGTCCTCCTTCTCCTCCTTTTCCTCCCCCTCCTCCTCCCTATCTTCCTCCTCCTCCTCCTCCTCACCCTCTGCTTCCTCAACCATCCTCCCTCTCTTGGGCTATGACGGTTCCTTCAGCCCTCTATTACATCGCATGCTCTCCCAAATCCCAAATCGGGGCAGCCCGCCTGGGCATTGCTTCTGGATGGGCTGATGGGGCTATTTTTTCGGTCGCGGGCGGACGCGGATTCGCAGTCGCCAGCAGTAATGTCCGGGACAACGGCACAAAACGAATTGCACAATCAGTGCCGATGCGCGCGCACTTACAACATGCTCAGAATTCAAAGGAACACCGAGCCTAAACAAGCGCTGCAAACTAACAGCGGTGCCCGAGACACAGAAGACTGCCTCCCCAAGCCGGGTAAGGACATGCAACAGTGCCAAAAATCGCACTGGCAAGGCTGACCCATGACGTGCGCGGTGCCGCAGACGTGGCCACTGACGCCTGGTGAAGAAACGCCTGCGAAACCAGCCTGAAGGGCGACAGCTGAAAAGGGCGGTGAGGACAAAGGAGTGAGTCGCCAATAAAGCGCCATACTCCAAGCCCAGGACAAAGACTGCAAGCCAGTGGGAACACTGGGCAGGCGGCGCGCAGGCGGCGGCTGGAGATCGCCGGGGAGCTGTCTGCAAGCGGGGCCAAGCCCGAACAAATTCCGAACTGACAAACGAAGCACGAGCCCAAATAACGAGCTGCAGGCGGGGAAAACGAGGGCCGGCTGCACTGAAGGCTGAACCACTCAGCGCGCAGCCATCGAACCGCCAACATGACGAGGACCGGCGGCGGCCGACGCATCGAATCAACACCTGCGGAAATAGCCGGAAGTTGCGACGATGCGAAAGAGGGGGGTGTACACAAGAGCGGGCGGCGTCTCTCGCGAAGCATCCGGCACAGTGCCTCACGATGTCGGTCGGGGCCTCCGAGAACCACCATGGCAGTCTGCTGCGAATAGGCCCACCCATGCCAGCTGCATGTGAATGTAGCGACTGTGGGGAGATCCTCCGAGCAGCCCGCCAGCCAGTTCCCCAGCTGGCCACGGAAGCCGACGCGGGCGCGCCCCGGGGCGAAGTGGAGGGTGCACGACCAGCTGCGCATCAGCACCGCTAGCCACCGTGACCGGTCTCCGCTCCTCGACCTGCTCCCAACTGTAGGAGGGTGGGGGGGGGTGTAGCTGACCGTTGCAGGGTCCGTTTGACAGCAGTTGCACACTGAGAGTGCCGACGCGCGTGGGGTGGTGGTGGTGGTGGGGGAAGCTAACCGCCGCGAATGACGCATAGAAGGTCTGGGGGGTGGGGGCGGCAGGGCAACGGCGAAGCGGCCCAAGCTGGAGCGCGCCAGCGTCGACTGCGACACGCGGGGGGTATATGTGCAAACTCCTGAATGCAGCTGGAGCTGCAGACCGTCAAAGTACCAGCTGAGTGGCGTGCAGGGGGGCGACTATTCCAGACGACCATCCCTGCTACCGGTAGCAGGCGGCTGTCAGATAGACAGCGCAGGGAGGTGCGCTGGGGGGGATGCGTCTACGGCCGCCCCCTGTCACCAAGCTAGGGTGGCTGTCGCTGTGGTACAGCGAGGCAGGCGCTCCTGGCTAGTAGGCCTGCACGCAGGACCCCCCCTGCGTAGGGGCCGGGGTGCCCCGGTGATCCACGTGTCCAGTGTGGGCTGTCTTGCTACGCAGCGCTAGGGGGGTGAGATGCGGGGGGGGCCTCCGCCCCAGCGGGAGTTGCCCCAAGGTATTATGGCCGAGGCCAGGCGCTGCAGGGCGAAACAAGCCCCAGTGAGGTGAAGCGCGTGCAACGAGGAGGGGGATGCACGGAAGGCGGTGGGTGTTGGTGCGCACGTAGCTGGGCCATTC